TATGGTGTGAAAGAAGCGCAATATACATTTGTACAAGAAGTTCAACATGCATATCGCGATGTCGTTAACGCATCGGTCACTCGGCATGAGGTCGATTAGTCATTCTTCTTCATATGGCTGATGTTCATTTAGAGCAACAACTATAATTTTGCATTAAGGTGGCTGATTCAGATGATTGTGCATGTATGGCTGAGGTTCTTTCGCACCGCACGTAGTCATCCGTGCTCATCGGAGGTGTGGGGGAAGGACAACAAACTAAACACAATAAGCAGTTTGAAAGAAATTAGTTTTAAATCTAGATTTGAAAGTGCATAGCTCCAGTTGCTTCCTAATATCGGAAGGAAGCGCCTTCCAGACGGCCGCAGAAGCACATCTGAAGGTGCGCGATGCGGTGTGTCGGCGGCAGCGGAGTGGCGTGTCACTGTGATGCTTCCTTCGACATTCAGTGGTTGAATGTTCCATGGTTTTGTTCTGGGTGACCACAGCCACACACCGGAGGGAGAGCTTTTAAAAGTGGACACGGTTTAGGGTCGTGGCCATTATCTTTGCAGAGCGTCCCAGCCAGGGTTCTTCTGCATGAGGTCTTTCACGAGGTGTTTTGTTTGCGACTTCTTGTGAACTCCATTCGGCTTTTCAAGCATCATCATCATGAAGGTTGAAGTTGCATTGTTGAAGGTTAAAGGCGTGGGTCCAAAAGGGCTTTGTGCTACCTCAAGCGGTGGCGAGGGACGTTATTGACATCCCCAGTCAGTAAATGAGTGATCATCGGTGTAATGATACATATGTGTGCAGCGGTGGGAACGCACAGCGATATGATTCCAGCAAACCGAGTTAGATAGATTCCCACGGCTAACATCAGTGGCGAGTGAGCTCTGAATCGGTACAGGGCCTCCCGCTGTCGCAGTGGTGATATAAGGTCAACACCCCGCGCCCCCCCCCAACATTGTGCGGACACATTTCATCGTGCAGTGGATTGACAGAAGCTTTAACTATATAACTATTTCTGTGCAGTGTTCACGTAGTTAATGGGTGGGCATACGAGTGCTGCTTTTGCTACAGGAAAACCGGATTGAACAGGCACTGGCAGCACACGTTTTGAAGCAACCTTTTAGCAGTAAAACAATAAACCAAAGCAGTCGTTTGTATCAAAGTCTAGAGCAGAGTTGCAAGATGGGAGCGGGGGGGACACCAAGGGTTGCAATTTTATCGCTCGGTCAATTGCAGCCGCTAAGAAAATGCTCACGGCTGAGTTTATGGGTGCGTCCCTGGGTCACCGAGGTCAGATGAACCCAGATCTCAGTCCCGTGGGGTCCCCTGGCCTCCGATAAGGTCAGAGCGATTCTTAGAAGACTCCAGCATCACCGAAATACCTCGGATTGATCTCGACGCACCCACAAAGTGTTACCTCTACCTTATTCTCCCAACTGTAAGGCACACACACCCCTAACTTGTCTAAAAAAAAAAGTTATACAAATCTGGCCACATGTGCACAATCCAACCGGATTATAAGGCGGGTCTGCAAAATTTGCTTTAAAATGAGGGGTGGGGGGGGGAATTTGTCTTTGAATCCAGAGAATATGGTAAAAGGTAAATCGACGAGTGAAGGTTCACGGGTAGAGAGAGTAACTATGGTAGTAGCGATTGCAGAGCGGTGATTGTGAGTGTGTGAATGGAGTAATGAGAGTGGGGAGCGGTAGTGCAGTGGTTACACATTGCGCTACACAACTGCCAACCCGGATTTGATTCCCGCTCATGGCCACCACCAATGACGATTATCTGAACCGGTCCTGGGCTTCCCTTAAGTCGATTCGGCCTCAAATGAGTACCAGGTGCGGTGTGTAAACATCGCCACTGGGAAGACAAAGGCAGCCAGACGCGGTCATGTTCACCCACCCCCTCGTGTGCTGTGCTGGCAGCGTAGGTGCTGGCTAACAGCACTTGCCCCAACAGTCTGTTAAGCCTATGTGGGGGATCTTTGTCTTTAGAGTAATGAGAGAAAGCCTTTGAATAACACACTCTTGTTGAAGCAGTGAGGTGGTGTCATCTTCCGAGGCCATTCCTGTGGACTAATTCAGATGACAATGCTGTATGCCGTGTAAGCTTTTTGAGTTCATTGTCTGCATATTCCTCTTTGATGGCAACTTAACACCATCGTGATCGCGCAGCATCCATAAACACCCTCGCGGTATGTTATTTGTGATTGCCACGACTGCATAAAGGGGCGATTGTGTCGCCTTACCCCAGGCCCTGTCTCTTGCACAACTGCGCACGTGGCGGCCTTGATGGATCTCCCTCCTTCTACCACGACGACGTTGACCCCTGTGTCTCTTGCCAGCGGCTCGTCTCTAAACATTCACAAAACCGCTAACCCCCCCCCCCCCCCGAGTTAAAGGGCACGGGCAAAACAGCGGCGATAAGCACGTGGAAATCTGCTGAAACAGCCGAATGCATCCCAATGCTCTCGGTCATGTGGTCAAGCCAGAATTTTCTATGACTCGAACTTGGCTGTCAGAAGGCACTGATTTTACAGTCTCGGCAATGGTCTCGTGCCACGCGGTGGAGGTGTGCGTTGTTTATTTACGGAATTATTCTCGATGAAATTCTCCGTGCAGAACAAGCAGAGCTGACGACAAGAATAATTCACTTGCCGTTGCGAAAGAGAGACCTGGGCAAAATACGATTTTACGAATGGTTTTAACAGCCTGAAATGCTAAGAGTGCATATTTAGTTGTGCGAGTGAGACTGCTAGGCTGTGTATTCGGCCTGTAATAAACGAATTTATCATAATTCAAGCCCATACTTCCGGCAGCGGGTTGACAAATAGTGCTTTGGTAATAATTCAATGCCCCTTTGTCAATCGACTGCTGGACGAAGGTCTGTCCGTCCCCTATCGTTCGTATGGGTTGGTAGGAGACTGGGCCCAGGAGCGCGTCAATCAGAGAAACATTGCAGTTTCATAGCTCCTCTGCTGCTGCTGCCTCTGTGATAATGATAATAATAATACGGTTAAACTTTGTTACATGCCACCACACAGTTTTTTTCACTTTCAAAGAGAGACGGCGACTCAGAAGTTTGACCAATCACAGTAAGGCGGGAAGGCAGCCAAGCGGTGAACCATGCCAAATTTCCCCCCACCCCCCCACTTCCCAAGCTCAACAGTCCTCTACATATTAAGATCTTATAGGCCAATTAATGAGTGTTTACATGGCGAGTCATGGTGCGGAACCTCGACGCCCACGGGAAGGGAGTAGCACAGCGTTTTGTCGTGCGGCGATCTGCCAACCGTCGCTGCTGCCCCCACAGTGCTGGACCACAGGCCACGTGCACAGAGCCACCACAGCCTGGCATGCCCCGCGGTGGTAAAACATTATCGATGCAGAAATGGAATTGTGACCTTGAATGGTGACAATTTACCAAATCACGGTGGTAGAGGGGTGGGGGGCTTGCAGCCCACTTACGTGGTGGCTTGTGGATGGCAGGAGAGCAAGTAGGTTGCCGAGCCATCTGTGGCAACTTTTGAGTGTAACTAACCCTGTCTACATAAACATGAGTAAATTGGTTTTCTGCGTGAAATGAACGAGACGACTATTGATATGTGGGCGAGTCCTCTTTGCTTGTGTAAATGTTTTGTTTAATCTCACAGACAAGCACCACAGTAAATTTTTGTTCGAACAATGACATCAGTCAAAATTGTGCTTCTCTGTAAATGTTCTCGAATTGGACGTTTGATAATAGTTGTGACTCGTCCAGAGCTGTGACCCCTTGATGCAGTGCTTCTCAACACGGCCAAGGTTACTGAGGCCACAACACACAGAGAGACCACGTGTCCATGCCTCTAGACAATGCAGTGTCAGTAAGTTACTTGTTTAATTTTGTGTTTTCGTGTGTTTTGTGTTAATAAGGCATCTGATTTATGTTGTCTATTTGTATGTTTTGCGTAAGGCGATGTGTCGTCGATATTTCCCTGAGCACATTTAAAATTGCTCCTACACAGCATCTGTGCTGCAGCCTGTGCCCCCCCCCCCCCCCCCCCATGAAGGCCGACCCACGTTTGACAAGCGCTGCCTTCATGCCAACAAAGCGATGAGAGTTTTTGTTTAGATTAAGGTTTGCACTGGGCTGGCACGCAAATGTACGCATTTGATCGCCTGCAAAACTGAGAGTGTAAAAAATTGTCAAACCGACCACAGGGTGGCATTAGTTCACGCTCTGCACCCTTGGAGTGAAGCTGGGCTGACTTGTTAGACGTGGTCGACGCGCGGTCAAAACATCTCGAGAGCAAAGTAATGGCATGGGCCTAAATGGCAGGCATCATCTGAGTCATCGTCTTAATGCTTGAATCGTTGAATAAAATTACCGTGTTGACATTCGAAGCTGACTTGAGTGTGAATGTGTTTGCTTTTAACATAATAGTAACCCCATCAATGCCTCACTGGGTCGTTTCTCTCTTCAACGAGGTTCCTGCCCAGGATGTTTCAGAATCCAAACATTTACACTGGAGGAATCCGATGACCTATAAACCTCTTTTTCACAGATGTCCAGTATGTTTGGCCAATTCCATGTTGAGTATATTTGTGCGTGGGAGGCAACCAAAGCAGTTCCCGGCCATGGCCAACATCAGTGGCAGTTGGTCGCAAAAACCTCTTCTAAGCCTCGTCTAGGATGGCGTCCAATTGAGCACCGAGGGTGGTGCTTCTACATCAGCATGGGGGATACCAGTGGCAGTCGGGCGTTGTGCTGTCCACACCAGCCCCTTGTATGCTGTGCGCCGGCCTTAATAGTTGCCGGCCCACGGCATCTGCCCCAACAATCTGTGAAACGCTATTCGGGAGATCTTCGGCTTTGCCTCCTTCTTGTAAATAAGTTTACGAATGAAGGGATGAAATGTGTCCGCGAGCTGCCCGTTGCTGCTGGCCGCCGTGCGTCAACTCTGCGCGCCCGCCCGTCCACCCGTCCTTTCCCGTGCCGTCGTTCATCGCCTCCCGTCTCTGTCGCCGCAGACAACGCTCCGCCCTCGTTTGACGGGAAGCACGGGCGCGTCGGCTACTCGGTGATGGCCGAGCTCGACATGCCCTGGTACAAGTCCGACCAGGAGCTGCGCGCCGAATTCACCGTCGCGCTGCCCGTCGACCTCAACGCCGTCCCCGACGCGGCTGTGAGTGCACGATCGGGAAGGGCGCCACCTGCGTTTCCCAGCTCCCGTGTCGCCATCAAAAATAAAATGGATTTCCTTCTCAAATGAGTTTCGAGCAAAATCCAGTTACCACCTTTATAAGTGGAAAATCAGAGGAAGCCCGGAATGGGCTACAGAGACTCTGATCACATCGTAGAGCGTATTGCGAACCGAAGGTCGCACTGCAAACCGCAGGCTGCATGGTAGACCGCAGAATGCATTGATAAGATAGGTACTTTTTGCGGAAGCAAAGTGTATTGAATAATTTTCCACTCGCAAACTATTTGTGCCTTCTTTATCTGCTTCCATGAAGCCCAAAGCATTGTGGCCTATCTGTAACCGATCGTTACTGCTGCTGTTACCAATGTGTACGGCGTTGTAGTTGTGCTGTAAAGCTCCTGTATGGTGTTCTGGTCGTGCCGCGTGTTGTTCGGCACTATGCTCGGCGTTGCGCTGCACGTGCTTTCAACGTCAAGCTGAACAACATGCAGCACAACCTGAAAGCACACGGGAGAGTTGCTGCTGCTGTTGGTGCGAGTGGTACGGAGACAGCTGCATGTTCCCCATGTGTTTGTGTGTGTGTTCAGTGCCGAAGTGGAGCGGTGAGCGTGCTCCAATATGAACCTGGTAACCTAAGTTCAATTCGGGCTCACGGCCAACACCAGTGACGATTATCTGAACTGGTCCTGAGCCTCCCCTAGGTCGACTTGGTCTCAAATGTGTACCTGGTGCGGTGTGTAAAAACATCGCTGCTGGGGAGACAAAGGCGGTCGGGCGTGGTGCTGGCCACCCACCCTATCGTGTACCGTGCCAGCCTTCGTAGGTTCTACCTGCTAACAGTACTTGCCCCTACAGTCTCTGAAGGCTGTACGGTTGACCTTCGTCTCTGTTGTCAGTGCGAGAGCCGCTCTAAAGCGAGCAAGCAGGTGAACTACTCGCTGGTGAAGAGTGGCACGCTGTCGCTGGAGTGCGTGGCTGAGAGGAAGGGATACGTGCCGGGCCAGGTGATTCAGCTGCTCACCTCCATCGGCAACCAGACCGGCAAAACCTTCCCTCAGATCAGCTCAAGCCTCGTGCAGGTGTGTTGTGGCCGCTGCGCTGGCAGTGGCTCACAAGAACGACAAACAAACAAGCTCACAACATTCGTCAATAACACCGTAACCTTAAGAGTACAATGTGTAAAATATGTGACTTTTCGGGCAATGGCCCTTGAGCAGAACACGCATGTAGCCGATTGTTAGCAAAGTGATGACCGGGTGAGTAATATAACATTTCTAACACTTTGAAAGGTGATGGATTATCTCCCAATTTGAGGCCGTAAATTAAAATCCTGACCAGGGTTGACTTGGACCCAATTACCATCCTCACCATCATCATCATCATCATCATCCATCACGGGTCACTTTCAAAGAATATGAATTATTTTGTTCAAATTTTACCCTGGAATGCCTCACAGAGTAAACGGAATGCCTCACAGAGTCTTGAGTATGTTTATGAGGAGAATTCTAGATCAAGATATTTGGCCAATTCCATAAATTAATTTTCTCTTTGCGGTTATTGACACGCTGCTTTCTTTTGAATGTACATATGCTGAACCTCTTTTGCACCGTACATAGCCAAACATGCTAATCGGACGTGCGAAACTTAGTCCTAAAGGGGGAGATTCTTTGCCAGAATCTGACCCCGTTTCACCGCTGTGCAGGTCTTCGTGGTTCTGCCACGCAGCCCTCTCCGTTGTGTTTCTCATCATACTGCGCGTTGCTCTTCACGATGTCCGACGTGTCCTTCCATGTCCTGGGGGCTTCTTCAGCACGTTGAGCAAAACATCAGACATGACGTCATGCCAGTGTGCCAGAGCCATGGAACTTTACGCTTACAAATGTGTTGGGTTTGCCGATTCCAAAAATATGTTTTTCAAGAATTATAACTCAAATTCTGGGTCAAATAAAAACTTTAAATACTTTTGACCAATGTAAATGTCATGATTCTTGCGATGGCTGATTCTAATAAAATTATAATGGTCAAGCAATGGATGACTATAGTTTAGAGTCGGTGCTAAATTTGAACAGTATATCCACATTTTCCGCGGGCTGCCATCAACTCTTGTTTATCACCCCCATAAAACAGGCTGTAGAAAGACAAACCTAATATTTGCTGTGACTTTATAGGAAGCATACTCGTCGGAAACCCATTGAGATGTAACATTAATACATACTTTGCCTATCTAATGTGTGATTTGGAATTGGAGCTCGTGCCTTTTTGCTTTGTAAATGATAGAGTGGATAAGCAGCGCTTGGGGTCAATAAGCCAAATAATCAGAGTTATCGGCTCAAAGATCAAATGTTCAACCTCGTTCACGTAAACTGCATATCATAGGCTTTCAAATAACTCCTCATTATTTGGGACTAGTTCATGAAGCCTGTCTTGGCCAGGCAAAAGTTTTCAATAAATATAATAATTAACCTGATATGATTTTTTTACAATATATATCTACAATCAGATGGTAACAACTACTCCAAAAAAATTATTTTTCCACGAAACTAAAATTATTCATGACTTGATTCAACTCCAATTTAAAGACGTACCCATTGGAAACTGCTCCATTTAGAGATTCCATTATATTTGTTTATTAGAAAGAACAAAAATTAATTCACGTAATGCTCTGAGGGGAAGGTCCTATTTTTTACCGTTTTCGAATTATTCAGATTTTAACATCTTAAAATATGTATTTTTCCATTAAAACCCGCTTAAATCCGAAATATCTCAAAAACAATAAAAGATAGAACAATGGTTCTTACTTAAAATTTATTTGATATTTAGCGCTCTATCAAATGAAAAAAAACCGCAATCTTATATTTTGAACGTTTTCTGAATCATACGAGGCACCAACATGTTTATGGTGCACTTAAAATCGAAATTTGGGGGGCTGAAATTGATAAATATCGGATTTTCTGATTGTTCCTGTTTGTGTCCTAAAAGCTACCTATGAACCAAATTTCAACTCTCTACCTTGTCGAGGTAGGTTTTGAGGCATAGAGATTAAGGTCTTTATTTATATAGATTGTGGTCTCGGAGGAATTCTTGAGTCAATCACACATACATGTCTATTGAATGATAAAACAGCCTTTGTATATAATTAATTGTCTTGATGCCGGTGAAAGGGTCCCATAGTTATACATGTTCATTATCTCATTCTTTGGTTCTTTCGGTAAAGTCACGTAGATAGAATAAAAAGAACTCACGACTTTTCCATCGCAACACAAGCGGTCGTCATCACGCAGAGAGAAAAAGGCCTTCAGCTGCAACTGTTTATAAAGGCTTTTATAAACAGTTGCAGCCTTTATAAACAGTTGCAGCTTTTATAAACAGTTGCAGCCTTTATAAACAGTTGCAGCTTTTATAAACAGTTGCAGCTTTTATAAACAGTTGCAGCTTTTATAAACAGTTGCAGCTTTTATAAACAGTTGCAGTTGGAGGCTTGCCCCCCCTTTTCTCTCCGCCGGATGACGACCGCTTTTATTTTCTATCTACGTGACTTGACCAAAAGAACCAGAGTAGATGCATTCCTGCAGTGACGAAAGTTTTAAGTCAAAATGTATATTATCTCATTATCATGTATCTATTTAATTTAAATATTGATCTTATCAGCAATTACCCTGTTCTGCTATCAGAGTTAAATCACTTTACAAAGAAGTGTCCGGTTCTGAACTATGGACTGCGCATCAGCCAACTCCCGGGGCACGTGGCGAGGGCGGTGGTGACTCTACCACCCGGTTGCCCTCACAGATAGCCTGCACTGTCGTATCAGCAAAAAAAAAACTATCAGCAAAACAAGGAGAGCTTGTGCCTTGCCGTTTTATCGGCCTGGTAGATGAATGGCCAATGTCCACACGTACCATCGCCGGGTTTGCACGAGCGCGGCGGGTGGGCGGCTGGATGAACATATTTGTTGATTTAATTTGTTTTGCTTGCGCCAGAGGTGCCTGTAGTTACGAAATGTTAACTGCCTCGTCTGGTATGCAGAAGGTCGTGGATCCGATTCCGACCCTGACGCCTGTATCTTTGGAGTTTGCATGTCTCTCTCTCTCTCCCCGTGGTCTTGTGGATTTTTCTCCGGGTCCTCCGGTTTTTCCCTCCACGTTTAGGAACGTGTGTTGAGAGTATTTGGCCGCTATAAATTTCCACATGATAAGCCACTTTATTGAGCTTTCATTTGTACCCAGGTCACTCCTGAAAAATAGCTCTGTATCTCAGTGTGCCTTACCTGGTAAAATAATACAAATAGTTTAGTTTGGAAGAAACGTCTGTGCAAATATGTGTCGGAGCCGAACGAAAGGTCGAGGGTTGCACTTTCACCGAACGCCCGCTGGATGTCTCCGCTGCTGCTGCGACGAGTGGTGAGCGTGGCCGCGGTGCGACACAGACGCGCGGTGCGACACAGACGCGCGGTGCGACACAGACGCGCGGTGCGACACAGATGCGCAACGACCCCCCCTCCCAGCTCCAGTCACAAATCCGTTTTTGCGGTGGATTGTCCATGGGCCAGAGGAGAATGTGGTACTACTGGAAGTGTCGCATTTTTTTTATAGACCAGGTGTCGGCAACCAAAATGACAAAAGGAGTCTTTTTTTTCGAATTGTGAAAAATAACTCAAGATTTCAGGAGATGCAATGCATGTAAATACTAGGCAGTCCTAAATAAATGACATCACAAAGCAGTCCTTAAAGAGCCGCATGGGGCTCCGGAGCCGCGGGTTGCCGACCCCTGGGCTAGATGAATAATAAAAGTGGATTACGTGATGAAATGCTGATGGAATACGGTCACTGCATAATTCGCTTTCATTGGCGATTTAAAGTTTGTTGATAAAACTCAGGATTTGGCCTTCTCAGGTGGTATCAGCAAGTATATGGTCTGTTCCCATGGTCTGTTCCCATGGACTACGGTTGTCAAGGATGCACTGTAGTGGTAATTCTTAACAACGACGAAAATGTTAGACAGCTGTCATGTTACAGAATAGCCACCGAGTGAGACTGCGGTCACCAGCGTCAAACAGTGGACCACATAAGCAACGTCACTGCCCGCTGAGATGATTTACTGGCAGCATTTCACATATTCACCATGACACCACTGCTGAAGTCGTGTCTGTCTATATAGGTTTATGAATCTCCACGTAAGGCGACATCTTAAACCACAGGGCCACATAGTTACACCGCTGGCCACTTCAATCATTCGCTGGCAGCATATCAGTTGTTCAGCATGAGGCTACCCCTGAAGCCACCCACTGGCTCATGTTAGAAAAAGACGTTGAAATAGGAAAGGGCCCAAGTTCAGCAGTTTCATTCAGCGAGCAAGATCAATCTCCTGTGTGCACACATTATGTATTTCAGACTTGCAAAGTTTTATGCAGTCCCCCCCCCCCCCTGCCCATAATGTGGAATGAATAAAAGCATCCACTAAAGGTCACTGGCTCGGTGATGTGACTGGTAATGACTCCCGCAGTGACACAGCCCTGGGATTCACAACCCAGCGCTCCTCCTATACATGCAGACTCGGTGCCCTGCCCGCTATCTTTGGACCTTTGAGTTTTTCGCGTTTAGTATTCTGGACAATGCGACGTGTACATTATCATGGAGATCAGCTGGTAGCACGCACAGCCAAAGCACTGCTTGCAAAATCTGTGTCGTGTGCTATTATCGCTGGGATTTAATATTTCCAGAAGGTGAATTGTTAACACCACGTGTCATGTTAATACTAATTAGCATTATATAGATGAAGACCTTTTGTTGAAAAGCAGGTATGCAGACGTGTCCTCTGTGGATCATTATTGTAAATCAGCGTAAGGGTGAATGTTTGTTATTATGTAAATGAATAAAGTAAATTTGTTGCGCTCAATATCTTGATCATGAAAGACCCGGGCCATGAAAATTGGACAGCGAAACGAATAAAACATTTAAATGAAGTAATACAAATGTTCATATCCAACCTAAAGTATTTCTATTGCAGGCAATGTACCCATTCATTGTGGGAGCTCTGGCACTGGCACACAATGAGTGTCACAGCGAAATATGGCCGTGTCACA